CACACACACACACACACACACACACACACACACACACACACACACACTCTATAGGCACGGTCCTGCAATGGAATCTGTGCAGGTGGGCCCCTTGCAGAGCCTCACTGGAGGCTCCATATGGGCATGGGAGTCCGCCCATCCACAGGGATTTCATAGCAGGATTGGGGCATGTAACATTAAAGGGATGCTTGAGGACCTTGTATGGTCAATACAGGAGTATAGAGAGCTAGGTAATGAGCATTCTATTAAAAAACAAAATCTATGCTTTTACCACTGAGAACAGATTGCAATATTTCTTATATGGAAAGAAATCACACAGCCATTTAAATTATACATAATTGCTCAAAATATAGATACCAAACTGATATTGGAAGTATCAAACTATAACATCCTGATCCAGCAAGCAAGGCCTTAAGTAGGAGTTCAGCTAACTTCAGAGGAATTACTCAAGTGCTTAACATTAAGCATGTGTATAAAAATACTTCACTAGACTGAAGCCTAAGTATGTAAAGAATGACATATTGGCCAAAATTCAGCCATCACTTGCATCCTGTGCAACCTGGCCCCATGCCCGCAAAGCACTTAAGTGTGTAGCCGAGCAGTACTTGTGAAACCAGCAAACACAAGGGGCCACATTCTGCTTCCAGTACACTGGTGAAAAGCCATTTAAATCATTGGCATAACTGATCAGAATTTTGGCCCAGCAGTTAGAGAAGAGAATGTTTTATTAGAATGAATGATAAGAACAAATGGGGAATTTAGAGGAAGGGAGTCATCAGAAAGTAGGGGGGGGGAGGGGGGGAACCAACACAACCATCTTGGAAGGATACAAAGTCATGCTGGAGAGAATAACCAAAATGTTGAACCAAAAAGGATCTTACACATGCTGAGGTTTCATCAAGGAAATCTTTCCCTTGATATATTGGCAATATTTTCTGGGAAACTACACTATTTCCAGTTCTTTATGGCATTTAACAACAATGAACTGTGTTTGCTGTATTAATAAATTATGATGTCACCTTGTTTTATGGGTAAAGCAATATCCTCTTCAGATATTTATATTATAGGTGTACAAAAGAAAACTAGTCATGAAGTGATTTCAGACACTGTACATGCACATAACTCACAAGTGACATGAGTTCTTGTTTCCTAAATGAAGGATTAGGAAATACTCTTAAAACAATAATAACGAAAGAGAAAATGAGAGAAAAAATTGGGAAAGTTATCCCCAAATATTTGTCGTCTATCAAACTAAGCTTTTATATCTTCTTAGTGACAATATTTTATAATAAGCATTGCCTATTTCTTTAAAAAAAAATCATGAAAATACTTTGCACTTATATCATGCTTTTCACCTGACATCTCAAAGTACTTTACAAAAGAGGATCACTATATTTATGCCATTTTATAGATGGGAAAACTAAGGCACAGAGGGTTTAAGTAGCATTCTCGGGGTCAGACCTAAAGTCAGGGCAGAGCTGGGAATTTCCTGACTTAGGTTTCCTGATTCCCAGTTTCTTTCCGAGCTAGTGGGTGAAAAAAAATCAATATACAGTTAAATAATGTATTAAATTGAATTTAACAGACCACTAATCTATAAACACAAGGAAATATTCTTTTGGAGTTTTCTGAGTTCCAGTTCCTCAACTGTGGGCAATCTGTGCTTGGAGAAGGATTCGAAGAAGCAGACAAAAATGGAATAAAGCCATGCTGATCTTGGGGGAGTAAGTTAGAACAGCTCAGAACTGCTCATATTTATGTTGGTTGGTAATGCACGTAAGGGTTTTTTCCAGAGTTGGTCATGACCAGAGATGACAGAGTTGGCTAAACCAGGAATCCCCAGTTGTTAGGGCAACATTATGTTCTCTTTGCATTGTTGCAAAAGGAGTGTGTTGGAGGTGGAGGATGTAGATATATTTATAATTTATTTACATATATTTTCCCCTTCCCCTCCAACTCAGATCTGAAGTGAGGTTTCTTTTTCAAAGAAAATGTCAGTAAGATTTTCAGCACCTGGATTCAGGTAAAATAGCTGACTATTGAGAATATTCTTCTAAAGGGGCCAAACCCCACCTGCTTTATTCACGCAGACAGTGCTATTGATTTCAATGGGTTATTCATCTGAGGATTTGCATGACTGACTGTAATGACTGCTTGCTTGTCTACTGAATCAAGAATCTCTCTCTCTCTCTCTCTCCCTCTCTCATTTTTAAATAGGTGCCTAAATATATATATATTTATCCAGTAAGTATCTTAAAAATCAGGCTGTGCTCTCCTGGCTTCGGACAGTACTTCAACAAATGCAGATTGTGCAAAGAGAATTTTGGTGGAGATTTTCAAAGGGGCTTATGGGAGCTAGGACCCTTCCCATCTCCCACGGAAAGTCAGTTGGGCACCTAATACCATTTGTCCTCCTTGAAAATTCCAGTGTTAGGGCCTATTCCTGTAGTCCATATGCAGGGGGAACTCAATGGGACGTTTTGTTTGCATGAGGACTGTAGGGTCAGGATACATGATTGTGACTGATGACACATGAACAGAATAGGCTATAAAGCTCACCTTGTTACAAGCAGTTTGTTTTGCTGTAAGTACTATTGTAATGTTATTTTTCTTAGGAAACTAAACAAAATAGTTCCCTTCTCAGGCAATCACTTCAGACTGGGTATGTCTACATGACACCGACTCTCAGAACCCAGGTCAGCTGACTCAGAATCACAGGGCTTGGGCTGCAGGGACATAAAATTGCAGTACAGATGTTCAGGCTTGGGCTGGAGCCCGGGCTCTATGACCCTCCCCCTTCATGGGGTCTCAGAGCCCAGGCTCCAGCTCAAGCCCAAACATCTATACTGCAATTTTATAGCCCCACAGCCTGAGCCTTATGAGCCCATCAGTTGACCCAGGCCCGCCACAGCTGCGTAGACACACCCTTAGATTAGGGTATGTCTACACTGCACACTAGGCCTAGGCTCTGACTTGGGTTTGATCCCTAGCTCCCCTTCTGTCCACACACAAGTCGGTTTGACTCAGGTCAGCAACCACTCAGGTCCTGGGTCCTAGGATACTGCTAAGAGGGTGGCTCAGAGCCCAAGTTCCACTGAGACTCGGGTCCAAGCCCTGAAATTTAGCAGTGTGGATGCAGGTCAAGCCACAGACCTGAGTCAGAAGGACTACGTAGTGCTGTATGGACACATTAGGAAGGCCTGAGTCCTGCAACTTTAAACCCAGGTTTATAATGCAGTGTGAATGCTCAAGTGTGGGCTTGGAACACCAAGTCCAACAAGCCCAGGTCACACAGACCTGGGTTTACAATCCAGCACAGACATATCCTAATTTACCTCTCGATCAGACGCAACATTCTATCGGGACACAGACACTTCTCTCATCGTTATGAGCCTAATTCTGATCCCCCTAGTCATGCTGGATAGCACTTTACTCAAAAGTAGTCCTGTGAGCTTCGGTGGGTCTATCTGTGGAGTAAGATACTCTTGTTGAATAGTGAGAGGAGCAGAATCTGGCCCAACGTGGGAATTATTTAGATACATTCCACTTTGCAGTCAGTAGGTTATATGACAAATGTAACAGTCAGAAAACAGCTGACCTGCTTTCATTGGAAGAGTTTTGCAACTCCTATGTATATTAATCAGCTGCTAAATAAAGCTACTAGATTATCTTGTAATTTAAAAATATACTATATATGGCATATTTAGACAGTCACTATAACTGTAGCAGTACACCAAGATGTATTTTGTAAACTTTACTCTGTAATAAAATCCTTGAGTGGGAAAGTATATCTAGTAGGGGATTTTAAAAAAAAAGAGAGTTAGATAATGGCTACAAGATGGGGAAACAACAAGGCCCTTTTTACTGTTGTACACTCACCACTTCTGACCCAGTCCTGCATTTCTTGCACACCCAAAAATATTGAGTTCAACAGGGGCATTGGGCCCAAGGTTGGCCCTTCATTATTTATAAACACTATCATATTTGTTAATTGTTCTTGATACTGTGCATCTAGTGGAAAATCTGTTG